TACATACAAAGGAACAATGATTCAAATAACTATTTCTTATCAAAAACTGTGAAGATTAGAAGAGAGTAGGTCAAAATATTTTAAGTGCTGGGGAAAAAAAAACCCTTATCAACCAAAAATTCTAAATCCATAATCATCCTTGAAGCCTTGAACATTCCTTTCACAGTAATAGATTAAAAGAAGTAGACAAAGTCAGCAAGGATATAGGAGACCTGATCAATGTCAACCAACTTGACCTAATCAGCACTTCAGGGCATCTCCCCCAGCGAGAGCTGAAAGCACATTCTTCTCAAGTGCTCATGGGACGTTCACCAAGACAGACCGTGTCCTGGATCAGAAAGCAAACATTAACAAATTTAAAAGAATTACAATCACACAAAGTATGTTCCCTGTCCATAATGGAATTAAACCAGAAATCAGCAACAGAAAAATATGGAAAATTCCCCAACATTTGGAAATTAAATAACACAATTCCAGCAACCCATGAGTCAAAGAGGATATCTCAAGGAAAATTAGAAAACATTTTGAGCTGAAAGAAATTAAAATATAGCATATCAAAAACTGAGGGAGGCCACCAAAGCCAGACAGAGAAGGAAATGTACAGCACTGAACGCTTACATTAGAAAAAAAGGGAATGGTCTCAAACCAAGAATTCAAATCAAGCTTCTACCTTAAGAAACCAGAAAAAGAAGAACAAATAAACCCAAATCAAGCAGAAGAAGGAAATAATAAAGAGTAAAAATCAGTGAAATTGAAAACAAAATAGAGAAAAATCAATGAAACCAAAAGTCTCTTATTTGAAAAGATGAATAAAATTGATTAATATCTAATGAGATTGATCAAGAAAAAGAGAAAAGAAACAAATTACAATAATACGAGGAACAGAAGAAGGAATATCATTGCAAACTCCTCAGAGTCTGGAAAAGGCTAATAAGAAATACTACAAACAACTTTATGCCCCTAAATTTGAAATGGACAAATTCCTTGGGAAAAAAGAAAAAGAATAACAACCTACCAAAACTTGCTTAAGCAGAAAGAGATAACATGAATTCCTGGATCTACCAGATAAATTTAACGTGTAGCAAAGATCTTTCAACAAAGCAAGCTACAGGCACAGACCACTTCACTGGTTAATTCTACCACGTATTTAAGGAAGAAATGAATCCAGTGCCACCCAATCTCACCGGGAGCATCTAAGAGGAGAGAACACTTCCCAACTAATTTTAGGAGGCTATAATTTCCCTGATACCAAAGCCAGAAAAATGTCACATAAGAAAAGAAAACTGGAGATCAATATTCTCATAAACACAGATGCAAAAACCTCAACAGGGGCTGGCTGGTGGCACAGCGGTTAAGTGCACACGCTCTGCTTTGGCGGCCCAGGGTTCACCCATTTGGATCCCAGGTGTGGACATGGCACTGCATGACAAGCCACGCTGTGGAAGGTGTCTCACATATAAAGTAGAGGAAGATGGGCATGGATGTTAGCTCAGGACAAGTCTTCCTCAGCAAAAGGAGGAGGATTGGCAGATGTTAGCTCAGGGCTGATCTTCCTCAAAAAAAAAAAACAAAACCTCAACACAAATGAGCAAATTGAATCCAGAAATATATAAAACAAATAATACATCACAGCTAACTGAGGTTTGTCCCAGGAGTACAAGGATACTACAATATTCAAAAATTAAGCAAAGTGGGGGCCAGCCCCATGGTCAAGTGGTTAAGTTTGCACACTCCACCTCAGTGGTCCAGGGTTTCATCAGCTCAGATCCTGCACGTGGACATGGCACCACTCATCGAGTCATGCTGAGGTGGCATCCCACATAGCAGAGCCAGAAGGACCTACAACTAGAATATACACCCAGGTACTGGGGGGCTTTGGGGAGAAGAAGAAGAAGGAAAAAAAAAAGAAGATTGGTAACAGATGTTAGCTTAGGTGCCAATCTTTAAAAAAAAAAAATTAAGCAAAGTAGCTCACCATATTAACAGACAGGGGAAAAAACATATAATCATATTAACAAATACAGAAGTAACATTTGACAGAATTCAACATCCATTCATGAGAACAATTCTCAGCAAACTAGGCGTAGAAGAGACTCTCCTTAAGCTAACAAAAGGCACTGTAAGAAACTTACAGCTAACATCATACTTAATGATTAAAAATCTGAATGATTGCCCTCTAAGACAGAGGACAAGGCCAGGATGTCTGCTCATGACTTCTCTATGCAACATTAAACCCAAAGTCCCACCCAGTTCAATAAGGCAAGAAAGATTATCCGAAGGCATACAGTTTGGAAAGAAGGACACACAACTGTCCCAATTTGCAGACAACATGATTGTCAACATAGAAAATCCCCAGAAATCTCTAAAAAACTAATAAAGGGCTTCACTAAGATCGCGGAACCCAAGCTCAGTATATAAAAATCAGTAATATTTCTATATATTTGTAGTGAATAGTTGGACCCTAAAATTTGGGGAGGAAGTATTATTTACAATAGCTCATAGAAAACTGAAATATTTAGGTATAAATCGAACAAAATATGTGCAGGATTTGTATGCTGAAAACTATAAAACACTGGTGAAAGAAATCAAAGAAGGCCTAAATAAATGGAGAGACACACCACGTTCGTGGATTGGAAGATACACACTACATGATTTTAAGACTTATGAAAAAAATACAATAATCAAGATAGTGTGGTATTGGCAAAATGATAGGCACATAGATCAACGGAACAGAAGAGTCTAGATATAGATCCACACAAATATGGTCAATCGACTTTTTGCAGCAGTGGAAAGGCAATTCAGTGGAGAAAGGTTATTCAACAAATGATTCTGGAATGAGTGGACCTTCATACACAAAGAAATTAATCTCAACCCATATCTCAAACCTTACACAAAAATTAATTCAAAATGGATCATAGACCTAAATGTAAAACTCTAAAATTTTTATAAGAAAATAGGAGAAAATCTTTGGGAATTTAGATTAGGCAATATCTATATTACTTAGATATAAAGTAAAAACAATGTAAGAAAAACATGATAAATTAGACATTAAGAAAATTTAAAACTTTTGCTCTGCGAAAAGGCACTGCTAAGAGAATGAAAACATAAGCTACAAACTGGGAGAAAATATTCACAAATCATGTATCCAACAAAGTTTTTATATCCAGAATATTTCAAGAGCTCTCTAAACACAAAGATAAGAAAATAACCCCAAATTTTTTAAACGGGCAAAAAATTTGAACAGATACTTCACCAAAGAAAATATATGAACAGCAAACAAACACATGAAATGATGCTCAACATGACATGTCATCAGGAAAAGGCAAATTAAAACACAGCGAGATGCCACTGCAAGCCTATTAGAATGGCCAAAACAAAGTGTTTAAAAACTGGTAACACCAAGAAATGGCGACGAAGAGAAAGAATTGGATGTCTCACACATTGTTAGTGGTAGTGCAAAATGATACAGCCACTCTCGAAAATCTGGCAATTTTATAAAGTTAAGTTTACACATACAACATGACCCAGCAGTCTTTATTCTAAGATTTCCCTAGAGAAATTAAAACTCTTCAACACACAAAAACCTGTGAATGAATATTTATAGCAGCTCTTCATAACTGCCCCAAAGTGGAAATAATCCAAATGTTCTTGAATGGGTCACTGGGTAAACACACTGTGTTATAACCATTCAGCAGAGTCTTTCTCAGCAAGAAAAAGGAATGAAGTCTTGATCAAAGCCATTATGCTTAATGAAAGGAGCCAGACTCAAAATGTTAGATACTGTGTGGTTTCATTTACGTGACATTCTGGAAAAAGCAAAACTACACGGACACAGAACAGAGGAGTGGTCACCAGGGCTCAAGGTGAGTGGTGGGTTTGACCACAAAAAGGAGGTGTAAGAGAAATGCTCCTGGTAAGGGAACTGTTGTGTGTGCTCATTATGGTAGTAGTTGCACGACTCCATGCATTTGTCAAAACCCACAAGAAAAAAATTGAATTTTACTGTATGTAAATTAAAAATAAAAACAGAAAGCTGGGGGGCCAGCCCCGGTGGCCAAGTGGGTAAGTTCGGCGCACTCCGCTTTGTCAGTAGGTGGAGACTTACCCCACTTGTCTGTCAGTGGCCATGCTGTGGCGGTGGCTCACATACAAAAAGAGGAAGATTGGCTGTTAGCTCAGGGCAAATCTTCCTCAGGCAAAAAAAAAAAAAAAAAAAAAAAAAATCAAGCTAGAGTGGCTATATTAATATCAGAAAATAAGAGCAGAAATCAATGAAATAGAATACAGAAAAACAATTAGGAATATAAATTTAACCAAAAGTTGGTTCTTGAAAAGGTTAAGAAAACCGATAAACTTCCTAAGAGATTGATCAAAAGAAAAAAAAGGCACAAGTTACTCATATCAAGAACAGCGAAAGGATTATCACTATAGATTCTACAGCCATTAAGAGTGTAGTAAGGCTGGGCCAGCCTGGTGGCGTAGCGGTTAAGCTCAAGTGCTCTGCTTTGGCGGCCTGGGGTTTGCAGGTTCAGATCCCAGGCATGGACTTACACAGCGCTCATCAAGCCACGCTGTGGTGCCGTCCCACGTACAAAATAGAGGAAGATTGGCACAGTGTTCGCTCAGGCCAAACTTCCTCACAAAAAAAATTTTTTTAATAAGGAAATACAATGAACAATTTTATGCTAGTGAATTCGACAACTTAGATGAAATGGACAATTCATTGACAGGCATAAACTGCCAAAGCTGATAACAACCTGCGGACAACCTGGACAGCCCAGATCCATTAAAGACACTGAATTGGATGGGGGGGAACTTCCTAAAGGGAACCCCAGGCCTACCCGCCCTCACTGGTGAGACATGCCCCAGATTCACAAAAGAAATGTCACCAACTCTACCCAGCTCTCCTGGAAAACAGAAAAGGAGACAACACAGCTCAGCTCATTCAATTCTTCCATCGTTTGAAACATCAGCTGGAGAGCAGTGCTCTCATTACTTACATGGCCCCCAGATCGAGATCATTGCCCAGGAACTCCTCCAGCAGACTTGTGTCAAGGTTTGGGTTCCCCAGGGTGCCATGGGGCCCCTGAGCTGCAAAGGCAAATGGAAAAACTTGAGACCCATGAAGATTTCGGAATGGCCAATTGCTGAAAACACCGACATGCTCACACTCAAGAATTTGAAAGCAACTGCATGGCATGACGCATTTACTGAGAGTGTGGTCTTTCTTCCATTCACGTGTTTCCTTCAGAAATCCCTCTAGACGTCACCTCCTCCAGCAGCCTGCCCTGACTGCCTAAGGCTGGCTCAGGTGCCCTTTATATGCTCCCATGAAGACCACGTGCTTTCCCTTATACACTATCATAACTGTTTGCTTTTGCTTTTCTCTATCCAAAGTCCTCAAGGGCAGGGACTGTGTCTTTCTTATTGTGTCAACAAGGATCTATGGTATTAAAAAAGGCAGCAAAATACATTTTTTGGATGGACGGATGGTTGGTTTGCTGGTTGGACAGATTATTTCCACTTAAGTTCATCAAGATGATCTTGCTTCACATTTTTGGTAGACTTCCCAAAATGCAACACAATATTTATGTCCTCTTTCTTGGTTTAAAAAATGAAAATAAACTTATTGGTTTCTTTCTGATCATAATAAAAATGCTAGAATTTAAAAAGAATATAAAATATAGGAATATATTATAAAAAAGAAAAAACAATCTTTATTTGCAGGCAATCTGACTCTACATCTAGCAAAGCCAAGAGAAACAATTGACAACGATCAGAATGATGAGAAAATTCAATAGAGTAGTTGGTTAAAATTATATATAAAAACTAATTACTTTCTTATATACAAAAAATAACTACTCAACCATCCAGATAAATACAATGAAAAAAGATTTCACTGAAAATAACAAAAAGCATAAAACAGCTAAACATACACTTAGGGACAATTTTTTTTTCAAAAAGCAAAAATCTTTATGAAGGGTCATGAGAGGAGATTTGAATAAATGGAAAGACCTACATCGTTCTTAGACAAAAAGACTCAATATTGCAAGAGTTTTACTAGACATTATTTAGGATGTCTGCCAAACCCATATATTCATTTTCTGAGAGCTTTCTCCTTCTAAGAAGGGTCTCAGCATCCATATTTGTAACACAACCTCCAGAGGCACCTCAATCAGGGAGGGCCAATTCATGGGTTGGCCAGTGACCAATTCAATTATTTCTCCCAGGAATCTGAACTAGACTTTAAAGCTGGCGGTGGAGATTAAGTCATTTAGTAGCTAAGGCAGAGGCTGGAGTGATCGCCGGAATATTTCTGCCACGTTCACCAAGGTCCCTCTTGACTTTTCACCCTCACTGAGGCCTGGTTGTTCCATCTTTACTCCAACTACAAGACAAACTCTCATATATGCCCAATGAACCCTTTTAAACTGGCTTGTATGTTACCTGAAATCAAATAATCCCAAAGTTAATGGATTCTGAAATTCTTCTGGAAGAATAAATACCCAAAAATTATGGAGGAGGAGGTAAATAAGAACTGAGAAACACACGAACGGACATGTCAAAGGAAGACAAGTCCAGGATACATCAAGCAACATGATGTGCACAGGGAATAACAAGGACTTTTAGCACACGATAAACACATCCTTTGACCCGGTGAGAAAAGATTGATTATTCAACAGAAGATGTGGGGAAAACTGCTTAGACACTTAGAAGAAAAAACCTGGATCATTTTCCCACTTCCACACCAAAATTCCAGCTAGATCAAAGATTTCAACATAAACAAATGAAGTCGTAGAAGGAAAACATGAGTGAATATTCTTATGATCTTGAGATGAAGGCTTTTCCGAGCACGGCATGAAAACCAAAAACTGTAAAGAAAAAGCCTGATAAATTTCACTTGACACACCTTGAGAGGGGAAACAACTTTCAACATTTTATCTTGAAATAACTTAGAACCTAAGAGAAGCTACAGGAATACAAGGAACTCACGTGCACCTTTCACTCATGCCCAGTTATCCGCTTCACGGGGTTTCCAGGCACCATGAACTGCACAGCCCTTCACCTCTCTACCCCACACCAGGACCCTCAGGTCACCGGGGACCTCGTGTTCTTCCAGGGGTGAGCTGCCTCTGCATTCAGGCCCTTGCACGAGCTGCAGGAGGGCCAGCTTGTACTCAGCTTTCGGCGTGCTATCTCCTCCAAGGGCGCTAAAATAAAACCTTAAAAATTTGAGCACCTCCCAAATATGAAGAATTGATGGGCACCAGAGCCAGGTGGAAGGGAGGGAGGAAGGAAGAGGAGAGAGGTGGCCAACTGGATTCAGCGGCAGGAACTGAGAGGGAAGTGAAGGGAAGACAGTCCTGAAATTTGAGATGGTCAGAAGTGACCTCCTAGCGCAGTTTAGTCTTGAGCTGGACGTTGAAGAAGGGCCAGAATGAAGACGAGCAGGGCAAGACGTAGTCATCCCTCCACTGAGTCAACCAGGATTTGTTAAGCCCCTCCCGTTCACATGCCAGGCACCATACAAGGTTCTGGGGACACCGCAGCGGAGAAAAAAGACAAGATCCCCAGGGGCCTGAGCTCTAAGGGAGGAAAGGGGGCAACAGCGGGGGTCAATGCAGGACGTACGAGAAACGGTAAATACCCAGGGTATTTTCAGACAATGATGAAGATGGAACCGAGTGTGACAGACTGCAGGCACAGAGCTCCTCTCTCAGGATGGAGCACCCGTGCAAAGACAGAGGGCAGAGCGCGCCTGGCACAGGGAACAGCAAGGACAAGTCTTGGGGGCTGGGCCGTGCTCAGCATGTTTGAGAAACACCTCATCCAGTGTGGCCAGAGCCCAGCAGCAGGGGCCAGGGAAGGGGGGGCATCAGAGCAATGGCATCTGCATTTCAAAGGTCCCTCCAGTTGCTTTAGGGGAAGGGCTACCAGTGGACAGAAGAGAAGAGGGATCAGGTCCAGCACCGTCAGTCACCAGGGACACCCAGAGGTGGTGCAGAGCTCTCATTCTGGGCCAAGCACGAGGAGCAGCGCTTCCCCCGCAAGACGGCATTGAGCCTCAGAAGAGCCCCAGGGGATGTGCATCAACACCACCCCAGGCCGCAGAGAAGGCCAAGCCCCGGGTCGCACCAAGAAAGGAGGGCAGGGAGCCAGCCAGCCCTGTCCCACCTCCTGAGCGTGCTCTCAGCACCCACTCGCCCCCCCACCTGCACTCCTCACCCCACCTGTGACAGCCACCACCAAGGAGCATGTGTGTCTCCACCCCACCGGGCTCCGGTGGGCCAGCGGCCAGGGAAGCAGATGGAGGGAGGGGTCAGCTGAGCTTCCCCTGAAGCCCCTGCTGGCGTCCCACCTGCTTCACACAGTGCACATGCACACACCACATCCACATACGCACACACACACCACACTCACACACCACACATACACACACCACATCCACACACATACCACACCCCCCTACACACACATACTACACATGCACACACATACCACATACACACCCTCACACAACACACATGCACACACACACCCTCACACACCACACACATGCCCTCACACAACACACATGCACGCACACCCTCACACACCACACACATGCGCACACACACCACACACACACACCCCCACACACACAGTTCCCCAGGCAGAGAGCAGAGCCCACCTACATGCTGAGACCTGACCCTGGGCTCCTTGCTCCCCCTCCCCCACCCCCACCCCCAGGTGGAAGCAGGAGATGCTCCACAGCTCCAGGACCTGCCCTTCGGCTCATCCAAGTGCCTCATGCTCAAGGAGAGGAGCTTCCTCCAGGACACCAGAATCACACCTGTGCCTTCCAGACCCGAAGGAAATTACTCAGCAAGACAAACCCATAGTGCCAGGCAATCATTTTCAGGAGGCCTTACACATACAAGCCAACTCTCAGATGGCTCTTAAAATAAAGCTCATGCTTTAAAAAACAATCATTTGGGGGCCGGCCTGGTGGCACAGCGGTTAAGTTTGCACGTTCTGCTTTGACGGCCCAGGGTTCACCAGTTCAGATCCCGGGTGGCTGCAGACCTACGCACTGCTTGTCAGGCCATGCTGTGGTGGCATCCCACATACAAAATAGAGGAAGATGGGCACAGATGTTAGCTCAGGCCTAATCTTCCTCAGCAAAAAGAGGAGGATTGGTGGTGGACATCAGCTCAGGGCTGATCTTCCTCAAAAATCAATCAATCAATCAATCCTCATTTGCTCTAAATGCCTCAAATGCTGGTTTATAACCCAAACTGCGAAGAGTGCTCGGGCCTCTCACCCGGTAAGGGATGCCTGGTTTCAAACTTTGCTTCCACCCTTTTCCTCTCTTATCTTTTGGGAAGGGCTGTCGCAGTCCTGCCCGCAGGAGAAGCTGCCCAGGCCTCCAGGGGTGCCCGAGAGCAGCCCCTTCTCCAGCCTGGGTCTCTGCCTCCCCTTCCAGCACAGATGGCTGCAGGATGGGAACTGCCCCGCTGCCCTTGGCCTTGGCAGACAAGAAAAGGCAGGGGGTTACAAAGACCAGCCGCCAGGGAGACCCAGAAACTCGGCTTTCCAACTTGCAGCCCCAGGACCCACTAATAGACACACATGTGCCTTGGGGGAAATGGGCTTCTCCAAGGGCCTGGGTGGGGTGCGCACAGCCAGGACCCTCCCCCCGGCGCCCGTCCCCACCCAGCTTGGCTGTCCTTGCTGTTTCCTGGGCTCCCTTCCCACATCGCTGTCCTCAACCCGGATGCCCCTGGTCCCTCCTTTATCTTCTCTTTCAACCTCTGTCCCATGACAATGCTGCCCCAAGTGTTCAGACAAGAGGCAAGATGACAAAGTTTGCCTATCACAATAACTCCAGGTTTTTAAAAGTTTAAAAAGCAACAGTGAGGACCCCCCCCAAATGGTGGCCCTTTGGATTTAGACTTAAGGATGGTTTCCCTCTGACACAGCGTGTTCATGAGAAATTGGTGCAGGATGTTAGTGGATGTTCCAGAGGAGGAGTGGGGCGGGGGAGGAGGAGGAGATGGAACCGAGGAGGAAGGACCTAACGCTCTCCTTCTCTCATTTCCTAGATACCTTTGTCCCGAAAATAAAGCTGCAGTGAAAATCTTGGTGTTGGTGTTGAGAGCCACGGCCAGTTCAGAGTCAGTGAGGAAAGATGACATTTCCAACCCTTAGTGGACTGTTTCATTCATTTCTCCAGCATTTACCCAGTGTCCACTACGTGTCCAGGAACAAACCCAGGGAGGAGCTCGGAGTCCATTGGAAGGGACAGGTGTTAGACGTCAGGGGGATGTAGACGTGGACCCCACGGCGGCCGTTCCATGAGGCTGGCCAGCTGGGCCCACGACTTCCTGCACGTGATGCTTGGGAGGAATTTTTAAGGAGGAGCAGAGAGTGATAAAAATGTTCTGGGAACAGAAAAGAGCACACGCACGTGGATTCAAGTGACCAGCAGCAGGACTGCTGTGGAGACGTGCCGACAGCCCGGCCAGGGCAGGGGTGGGTGAGGGACAGGCAGAGCCCTGCACGGCGCCCACCGCAGCGGCTGCACTTCCACCTCAGCAGCTCCTGCAGGGACACGGCGTCTGTCTGTCCCTCTGCTCAGCTCTAAGCCCCTCTGGGGTAGAAACTGCCTCTTTTTGTACAGATCCTAAGCACCTAGGACGAGTCCAGGATCGTAGTAATTATTCAACAAATATTGAGTTTTTGGGCAAGTAATAAAATTCAAATGAATAAATGTGCTTATGGATGCTGGAGGGTGTATCTA